AGCAGTTAGGTGAGATAGAAGAGAGAGAGAGAGAGAGAGAGAGAGAGAGAGAGAGAGAGAGAGAGAGAGAGAGATACTGAATCCCATTGGCAGGTTTGTAGATTAATGGAGACAAAGTATCTCTCCATTATAAATACATGACGCCATAACCATAGCAACCATGTGCCCTGAATTTTCATGACAATTCAGATTAATCATATTCTTCTGTTCCATAACTTAAAAACCATATTTGATGATTTTTCATTCAGAAAAAGTAAGCCACATAAATTGGGGATTAAATAATGGGATAGCCCACAGGGCTGTTGGGAGACTTACATGCATTATGCAAAATATGGGCTAGAAACAGGGAGAGTTTGTTTATGGTTTTTCTCCCTGCAAAGCTGTCTATGTGAGCTGGCTCAGTCCACGTGGAACAAAGACAGACGTGGCTGTGAGGCTCCCAAGCAGATTATGGTAAACATACAACCAGAGGCAACAGACAGGTACCTAGAGAAACTTTTCTCTAGCTATTTGGGGTCTAAAGTTGTACCCAGAGTCCAGTAAGAAGGACTGAAAATGAACCCCAAAACAACAATTTAGTACCACCTATATACATTCTGTTGTCTTATGTGCTTTCACATTGTCAGGTGCTTAAAGAAAAGTAGCTATTTCTTCCAAAAGACAAATGCGAAATTTTAGAATATAGTATTTGAATTTACTTCTCAATATGCCTTTTGGCAACAGGAGAATTTTCATTCTTAATTATGTTAATAATAAGACACCAGGCGTGGGCTAAGTGACTTATATTTCATCTCATTTAACCATTTTAACAAAGCTATGAAGTCCATATTATACTCCATTTCACAGGTGAGGAAACCAAGATAAAGGAGGCTGCCCGGGGTCAAATCATTACATACACAGCCAAGTAATATTCAAACCTGACTAAAAAGCCAATTTTCTTAGTCACTCTTCTGCAAATTTTAAGACACTGCTATTAAGAATAGCAATAATAAAGGAAAAAATGAATTAGGAATGAAAAAGAATGGTAGGGAGCCACGGTGGCTCAGGCCAGTTGTCTGGGCGCTTGAGGCGGCAAGGCTATGCGTTCGAGGCCAGGCTGGGCAATATAAGAACCTGTCATTCATTTAAAAAAAAAAAAAAGGAAGAATGGTAATACAGAAGGCAGGCTGGGATTATGAAGGTTTTACAACATAGCCTTGAGGGGCATATGAGTTAAGTTCAGTCTTAGAAGCCTCTTTCACATATAAAGAAAGGTAGAGGCTAAGATAAGTGAAGGAGCTGAAAACACTAACTTGAGCATGAAGGTAAAACACAGAGCAATGAACAAATGGTCCTGGGTACTGGGAAGCTCCTAAGCTATACTAAATGATTCTAATAAGCATAACTCCAATTGTTTATATATTAGCCATCTAGATTGCTATGCACATAATAGCCAGAAAAGAAAGCAAACAATGTGAAATAACAATTCCAAATCGTAAAATCATAGACA